CTTCTATCTTACTTGGAATTTTGCTGATTATTTCCCATCATTTTGGCGATTTTTCGTCTTGAAACAGGGTGTGCAGTGATGGAACTAGTGGCCGTTCACGGTAGCCACTGGGAGCGAGTCTGTTCATCCTAGCGGCTCCAATAGTTGAACCACGGCCACTTATTCACCATGAGCAATCTCCAGTTCACACCATTCACGTCTCAAGTCTCTCCTCAGCTCTGGCATCAGCTATCAAAACTCAAGATTGATGAGCTCAAACTGTCCCAGGACTCCATCCCCCTCAAAGCCACGTACTCTGCCGGTAGAACGACCGTAGATCGCGAAACCGGTAAAGAAATCGGCCTGGGATGTACTTTCAACGCGTCGGGAGATGGATTTCTTAAAGATCGCTTCGCGTATGTCTCTCACATCACTCAGCGGCAAAACCTGTATGAGCTGACTATAGTGGCGTAGCCCATCGCCAAATGTAGCAGTCTCGTCTGGGACTGTAGTCAACTATAACACGATAGAAGAGTTTAAAGCTTCAGACAAGAAGGCTCTCTTTCGCGAACTTACCGACAGGGTACGTGGATCTTGCTTCGTCCCTTTGACCAGGACGCTTACCTCAAAATGACTCTGGCGCGTCTCGTAGATGTGGGATTCTTGGGTTGGAGATGAACCGGATTTAAATTCTTTCCTTCTTATAACATTTGCGGATCTCAAAAAGTACAAGTTCTACTACTGGTTCGCCTTCCCTGGCTTCGTCTTTACCGATCCATATACGGTACAGGGAGATGGCCTAGTTGCCGCTGAAAGCGCTCTCGGACACGAACAAGTTTGTAATCTTATTACATTCAGATCATCTTCTGACATTCTCGCAGCTCCAAGCTATCGCAGCAGTCACTCCTGCACACCCAGCCGTTTTTCTACTGAAACCAAATGGAAAGGGTGGATATGAATCATCAGCGAAAATCAACGCTTATACAAGTTTCTTCAAAGATACGCCCGAAGACTCTGTGAGTACCTTCTCGAATATTCTTCAACTTTGACGCTGACCTTCTGCCCAGCGTGTCGTTGGTTTCCTCGACCCGTCTTCCGACCCTCAATCTCCAGGATGGCCTCTTCTCAACATACTCGCCTACCTGTTCCACCTCTCACCCAATGTAAAGTCTCACCGCGTCCTCTGTTGGCGTGATACCGTCGCTCCGGGAGCCGGCCAGTGGAAATCTCGATTCGCCACCATTAATGTCGGCGCTGGCTCCATTCCGGGCACACGTCCTTCAGCCGTAGGTTGGGAGCGCAACGCACAGGGCAAGCTCGCGCCCCGTCTCGCGGACCTCGGCTCGTCCATGGACCCATTGCAACTCGCTGACCAGGCCCTCGGATTGAACCTCAAATTGATGCGATGGCGTATCCTTCCTCAGCTCAACCTCGAGACGGTGGCGGATACGAAATGTCTCTTGTTGGGTGCTGGAACACTTGGGTGCTATGTCGCTCGTACGTTGATGGCTTGGGGAGTCAAAAAGATTTCCTTTGTCGACTCGGCAAAGGTTTCCTTTTCCAATCCGGTGCGACAGCCATTGTTCGAGTTTGAGGACTGTCTCGAGGGTGGAAAGCCCAAAGCAGAATGCGCGGCGGACAGACTGAAAAAGATTTATCCCGGTATTGATGCCACAGGATACTCAATGTCCATTCCTATGCCAGGACATCCTGTCTCAAAGGAGCTCTTGGAACAAACCAAGAAGGATGTGGAATTGCTCGAGAAACTGATAGGCGAGCACGACGTCGTGTTCTTGCTGATGGACTCGCGCGAGAGTCGATGGCTTCCCAGCGTAGTGGCTGCCTCAAAGGGCAAGGTGCGTAGGCGAACCTTTTTGGTCGCAAGACCGAGAAATTTCTGATGGGTCGAAATTTCAACAACAGATCGTTATGAATGCGGCCCTTGGATTTGACACCTTTGTGGTGATGAGACACGGTGCTCGCGCGACTTCGTTCCCAAAGGACCATACTGGCATTAAACTCGGCTGCTATTATTGCAACGATGTTGTAGCACCAAAAGATGTGGGTACCCTCCCCTCACCGTTCCTGTGGCATAAAACCTTAACGCCCAACGCCCAACTGCCGGATAGTCTCTCACAGACAGGACGCTCGATCAAATGTGTACGGTGACTCGACCTGGTCTAGCCTCTATCGCTTCTTCTACA